AAATTATTTCAAGAACCCTCTCCAATGAAGATAGTATCATCCGCGAATTGGAGTAACCCTAATTGAGCATTATTGTTAAAATTAAAGCCTTTGAATTCCCCTAAAGATATCGTGTGATGTAATAGACCAACAAAACCCTTCGCTACCAACAGAAAAAGAAAAGGGGAAAGAAGATCCCCTTGTCTAAGACCTCTAGAACTTTGAAAATAAAGGCAGGGCTCCCATTAACAAGAACGAACATGGAACTATTAAACACCAAAGCCTCAATCCACCCACACCGCCTCACGCCAAATCCCATCCTTCTCAACATGCTTATAAGAAAATCCCACGAAACAAAATCGTAAGCCTTTTCAAAGTCCACTTTAACCAACATGCACCTCTTTTTTTTCCATTTTAGCAAAGTCTACCACCTCATTTAAAATTAACACCACATCTACCATTTTTTTTATTAGCAACAAAAGCGGTTTGTCACTTAGAAATGAGTTTAGGAATCACCACTTTCAATTTAGACGCAAGAAGCTTAGCTAAAATTTTGTACACATTTCCCACTAAGTAAATATTCCTAATTTCATCAAGAGAGATGGGATTATCAACTTTAGGGATCAACACAATAAAGTAAGTGGTAGCCTCTTTAGGCACCCGAGCACCACGATAAAACTCATCCACCACTTTAAAAAGATCATCATTCACAATATCCCAACAAGCTCTATAAAAACTCATATTAAAACCATCTAGACAAGGAGTTTAATCCCCATCACCAACCCAAATGACCCCTTTAATATCCTCTATAGAGAAAGCTTCCTCAAGCAAATTCATATCAACATCATTCAAGCTTTGAAAAAGAAAACCATCCAATAATGACCTTTTATAATTTGATTCTTGAAATCTAGACTCAAAGTGACTCTCGATCTTTCTCTTCACCCCATCCACCTTGTCCAGCCAACCATGTGCCGAATTGATCCCCAAAACATTATTCCTCATAAACCTTTGGTTCACTGCTTTATGAAAAAAATTGGAATTTGAATCCCCTTCAACAAGCCATTTTTGCCTAGCCTTTTGTCTAAGCATGCTCTCCTTTTCAAAACTCTTACACCATACCATATCATTATAAAGATACCTCTTACACATCATTTCATCAAAAAATCTAATACACCATTATTAGCCACCTCAAATCCAAAGCATTCAACTCATAATCTCCTCTCCCACCCCCAAATCCAACCAAACACCTATTTATTCCAACATCTTAACTCCTTTTTAAGGACTATAATATTTTATTTAAAGAATGAAAAACATTTCCCGGCACAACCAAATATTTCCAAACAATTTCAACAAAAGGAAGGAATTCTAAATGTTGTATCTAACAATTGAAAAACTTAAAAGGCTTAGGTCCCTAATTGTTAGAATTTCCCTTAACCCAAACATGACAACGGTCGAAAAAATCTCTATCACTCACCCTTTGGCCATCCGTAGTCCACTTAATTACCAACTCTTTCGAAACAAATATACTCATTGTCTTGCCACTTAAATTAAACAAAGTGAATTTGTTCCCCATCAAAGGAAGATAAATAAACTCCATCCCCTCAATAAACTTATTGAATTCAACTCTTTCACCATGATTCATCAACGATGTAATTCCCTTCCTTTCCATATCTTTCTTGATAGCGTTAAAGTCCTCCAATACATCACATCCCCCCCACAAAACAAATTTTTCAATCACTAAGCTCTTTACAAAACTTTCTCTTTAAAGAGATAAAACAAGAAAAGTACACGTTAACAAGATTGTAAGTCCCCCGTTTCCACCCCACCTTAATTCCAACAAAACCTTCACCAACAAAACTAAAGCAAAGGTAAATTTTTTTTCTTTCGCACGATAAGCAACCCTATGATCTCCCATTAGCACCTTTGAAAGACCATTCCACATCTCTATTTCCCTCACAAAACAAACAGGAAATTCTCATCAACCACCTTCATCTTGGTTTCTTGAAGAAAGCAAACATCAAAATCCTCACTCCTAATCAACTGAGCAAGACTTTTTTTTTAATAAAATCATGCACCCTCTTTATAGGATATATTATTCATTAATGACCTGATTCAGTGGCTTCCTTCTGACTTTTCAAAACTTGATCGTGTGACTCCAAACAACTGATGGCTTCCACATGATAATCAACCCCACCCCTCCATCCACTCCAAAAGCAACAACCTTATCCCACAACTTCCAAGCAACATCCAAATTCACATTATTAATGAACCTAGAGTTTCCTCGACACACATCCCCATCCAAAAACTCCTCATAACACATCACAAAGCCACCTGAAAATTTGGTAGACGAGGACTCTGATAAATCAGACCACCTCTCAATCGATTTAGAAGGACCCTTTTTATTTAGCTCTGAGGTTGAAGAGAGGAAAAATATGATTTTTGAATGATGAGGTCCTTATCCAAATTGTGAACATAAGGGATCGAACATGAGAAAAAAATTCAAGTGAGAGTTATTTCCATTTAGCCCACCTTGATTGACATTTATTGGCCCAAACCTAACCAACATGTTATCCGCACCCCCGTGCATTCAAAATCCAACAAAGATTTAATGGATCTAACTTTCAGCAAGCATGCCTTGCTAGAAGGAAGCCCATTCTCAACAAAAACCTCCAACCCTTTCTCATTAAGCATCACATTATTTTCTAGATTATTTTCAACATACTTTGTGGGATACACCACTAAGTTGACATTGTCCACGTCCACTACAACTACTATGGGGCTACATGATTGAGAGGGCAGATTTAACAAATGACCCGCAGACTCATCCACAAAAGAGGAAGAAGCAGTTTTGGATGAAAACCTGCTAGATGACTTTTCCTTATTTGTGAAAAAATATGTTATCCCACTACAATCTGAATCTGCTGCCACAAAGGGAATAAACCCTCACGTTCTCCAAAGAATTGGATTTTTCCTTAAAAAATGCAAAATCAACCTTAGACCTTGCCACCTCATCATTTTCTTCAACAACTACTTCTTTCATATATGATTTCGACTCTAACGACGACTTTTCTTCCATCACTTTCGGCGCCTGAACAATGAGTCTCAATGGGCCACAATAATCCTCCACCAACCTGATTCTAAACTACACTCCATTGATGAAAACCTTGAATGTTTCATTAAATACAAAAGTATACTTCGTTCTTAGTAAGATCCTCGTGACATCCAACCTGACTTCAAAAAGCGTACCTTCATCAGGGTGAATCAACTTTCCCACCGGTTTAGTGATAAGCTAAAAAAAGGTAAGCTCCAAGCATGGCACAAAATACCAAACACTTGAACCTACTTCACCCTTTCTTCATCCAACATATATGGCATCCGCCTCTTCACCTCTACAAACCATTCCTTCAACCATTCAACCTCATCGATGGTCAAAGTTTCCAGCTCCCCTTGAACTCTATATTCTAGTAGACATATACTAGCTCCCAAAGGAGTAACTTTGATATCAAAATGTCCATCCTTATAAAAAATATCTTGCATGTTATAGGAAGAACCTGCAACTACCACCTCTCCGACAAAAGCCTTACGAAATCTAGATTGAATATGCTCTTCGTCTACCTCAAACGCCATTGAAGAAACACTAGGCATGACCTTCATATTAGAAGCACCAACAACTTTGCATACGATTTCTCCGAACCACCATCTCTTTTTACATCGCTTACCCTACCTCCTTCCCCATATTCAAAAACCTCATTGGACCATGACACTGTATCAACTTGTGCTTCTCAATCCCGCCACCACCATTGGAGCTTTGAGTAACACGTAGGAACCTTGGTATGTTGACAAAGATTTTTTTGCTTACCAATGCAAATATTATCGAGTTTTGTAGCAAGCTACTTAACATTTTTCACACCTAGAAACCTCACAAAACCAAACATTCCTCCCTTCTTATCTCGTCTTGCTAGGATGACCACTTCCTCAACCTTACCATGCTCGCTGAAAATATCATAAAGCTCTATAGCTCTGACGTGCTCCGAGAAAGCAATGACAAAGAACAAACATAAGTCATTAGGTTTAAAACGCGAATGATCCACCATGTCACTCCCTGCCTTAACCCTCCTTCTGCCTGATACTTGCTTCCATTCACCTCCATCAGCTTTGACAAAGTTCTGAGATGAAAATTTTTCGCTTATGACTTTCTTCTCCCCATCAACTACCACCTCTTCAGTAACCCTTAACTCTCTCTAAACTCTCATTCTCTCATCTTTTTCTAGTGTTTCACGTTGCTAAAAAAACTATAACAAGATAATAATATGTTGACAAAGATTTTTATTTATTTTTGCTATGATCATAAGTTAAAAGTACAATAAACCAATTTTTAAAAAATAAAATAAATTAGACCCAAAAGTGGTTGTCTCCTTTGTAATATGAATGTTAATTTTAATTTTAACATAAAAGGTAGGCTCCCTTGCAATTTGAAAATCAAAGACGCGTTTGTAACTTAATACATCGATATCAATTTTTTGTTGAAATGTAAATGCAGTTACGCAACTTCGTTAATATCACTGTTGAGCATCTACAACAATAGCGAGTAAAGACCAAACATTGGACGGTGAGTTTAATTTTAATCTTAGAAATTAATTAAAATAAACTAAGTTGAAGAAACAAAAGTAGATTCATTCAAAATATAAAATAGAAATAATAAAATAAAACTGACTAGACACAGCACTGAACTGAGACAAAACGTTTCAAAAACGCTGAAAGCTGAGAGAGAGAAGAAGAATAGAGAGTTAGAGAGAGAGAGAGAGAGAGAGGGGTTACCTTTTCAAATCAGTATTCAAATTGGTTAAGTCCTCAATTTCTTAATTCTTTAGAGAGAGAAACTCAGAGATCTGGTTTCAGATCGTAGCTCAGGGTCTGGTTTAGGGTTCGGTTTCGATCGATCCCTATTTTTCAGGCACACACACGAGTATTAAAACCCTCTCCCTCTATTTCGGTTTTCGATCCGTTGATTTTCATCATCCATGGCGGCGATCGAGGAGTTGTCAGAGCTTGCTGATTCCATGCGTCAAGCGTCGGCGGTACTCGCCGACGAAGATATCGATGAAACAACCAGTTCTCGAAGAAGTTCAACTTTCCTCAACGTCGTTGCTCTCGGCAACGTCGTAAGTCTTCTCCATTTCATTTCTTCATCATCGTAGTTTCTACTTTATCATATTGCGGTTTCAATTTCAATTTCGATTTTGATGTGGATTTTGATGTTGATTTCGTAGGGTGCTGGTAAATCAGCGGTTCTGAACAGTTTAATCGGACATCCAGTTTTGGTAAGTTAGGTTTTGAAACTCTATAATCTCAATTCTGAAGATGAAGTGAAAAATTCGAAGTGTAAGTGACAGTGAATGTTTGTTTTCTTCAGCCTACTGGTGAAAATGGAGCTACCAGAGCTCCAATCTGCATTGATCTGCAACGAGATACTTCTTTGAGCAGCAAATCTATTATATTGCAGATTGACAACAAATCTCAGCAAGTTTCAGCAAGTTAGTTGAATATTTTCTAATTCACACAGATCAAAGTGGTTGATCTTTTGATCTGTGCATTTTTGCTATTTTTTTCTGGATTGATTAATCGCCTCTGTGTTCGTATGGTTTGTTTTATTTTCTACAGGTGCTTTAAGACATTCTTTGCAGGATAGGTTGAGTAAAGCTTCCTCAGCCAAGGCGCGAGATCAAATAACTTTGAAGCTTCGCACGAGTACAGGTATGTACATGAATGACTGATAATTGGTTTTAGTTAACTTACTGTCCTTGATTTAGACAATTAGATGGAATAGAAGTGTACAAATTTGAAAAAAGTAAAAGATTTCTGGATTACTACTGTTTCCTTCCCAGTATTGCTGTGTTTCTTGATAATATAGGACTCATATGCTGAAATTGGAATGTGTTGTCAAAAATAGTCATTTTTGAAATTTCAATAGGTCTCAGAAAACCATTTTCTTGGTGCCACGTGTAGCTTTATATTATGAGGGCAGATCATTTTTGTTAGTTCCTTGTATTTGAATTCTGTAAGAGCAAAATATACTTTTTTCTATATAAATATTGAATCATTTCATGTATTAGATTGATCTAGTAATGTTTTGTGGTACTGCGGCAACAGATTTTTTTTCTTCTAACATTATTTGTAACATGTTATCCTCCCAGCACCACCTCTCAAGTTGGTTGATTTACCTGGGCTGGATCAGCGCATCATGGATGAATCAACAGTAAGTGTTGGACTTCATTTACTCACCCTTTTTCTTGTTTCAATTATTTCTTATTTTATGTCATCATCATTGAATGGTTTTGGAATTATGACAATATTTCCTTTGGCCTTTGCATAGGTTAGCGATTATGCGGAGCGTAATGATGCTATTTTGGTAGTTATTATACCTGCAGCTCAAGCACCTGAAATTGCTTCCTCTCGTGCCCTAAGACTGGCAAAGGAATACGATGGAGAAGGTAGAAGACTATTCCCATTTTTCTTTTTTATTAACGCTTTTATGTAAAACATGTTAAAATTTTCTCTTGAGAACTTGCTCAGTTCCTTTCTCCCTTTGTTTGTCGTTGTGAACTAATTAACTAATTAAGCAGAAGCAATTTCTTATAGGTACCAGGACTGTTGGTGTTATTAGTAAAATAGATCAAGCTTCAACAGACCAAAAAGCAATAGCTGCAGTTCAAGCACTTCTACTCAATAAGGGTCCTGCAAGAGCATCAGACATCCCTTGGGTTGCATTAATCGGGCAATCCGTTTCAATAGCTACGGCACAGTCTGGGTCTGCTGGTTCTGAAAATTCTTTAGAAACTGCATGGAGAGCAGAGAGTGAAAGCCTCAAGTCCATATTGACAGGAGCCCCTCAAAGTAAGCTTGGAAGGATAGCTCTGGTGGATGCTTTGGCACAGCAGATTCAGAATCGCATGAAGCTGCGGGTGCCTAACCTTCTTTCTGGGTAATTTTTATGTTGCACAATACAACATATTGATTTCCAGTATAATTGTTTTTACTTGGTTATTGTTTGTCGTGGGTAGCCAAGAGCTGGGCAATAAATCAGTAGTTTTATTTCTTGAATTCTATATTAAGTCATTATTATCTGTAACATTTTGGCTTAATACTAAATGCTCTGTGATATAAACAATTCTTTACTGTTAAAGATCTGGTTGCTTTAAAAGGAAGAATGGTTTGTTTGTTTCATTCTTGTTACAGAAGTCTCTTAATTAATGTGCAACTTTTTATATGAAGTTCATTTGATTATCTTGCTTGCGTTTCTTATTTCTATTTTTCGCCTTTGGTATTTTTGCTATTTTTTAGAAAAGTTAGTGATAATTGTTAGAACTCAAAAGTCCACAGGGAAGTCAAGCAAGTATAGACAATGTCAAAATAAGGCAGTAATATACATTCATATGCAACACTTAAGTGATTGATTGATAGAAAGTGGATTATATAAATCTTAACTGATATATTGTTCAGGTTGCATGGGAAGTCTCAAGTAATTCAGGATGAATTGGCGAGGCTTGGGGAGTCAATGGTCACCACTGCAGAGGGTACTCGTGCTATAGCGTTGGAACTTTGTCGTGAGTTTGAAGATAGGTTCCTACAGCATCTTACCACTGGCGAGGTATGTTGTCTTAATCTTATATTGTAATTGAATTTTAATTAATTTTGATATTGTTTATATTTTGTTGCCTTATTGGTTAATTGAATTTTAGTTAATTTTAATATCGTTTATTGGTGGGAGCATTATTTCTTATTATAAGTTGCAATTGATTGAAAAAAGCATTTGAAAAGTTGTGATGTAGAAATGCGCAAATGAGAGGGGAAACAATATGGCGAGATGCACGATTATGGTTTCCATTTAGCAACTAGGACATAATTACCAACCAACAAAAAGTAATAGTTGGTCAATTACTATGAATGTTCCGAACTTATTTAAAATTCTAAAGTTGTCAAGATTGATATCCTACCTAGGAGGACCAAGAGAAGGTTTGCAAGATTATAAAACATTGGATCATTGATCCTACCAAAATGATTTTTTTTAAGGAAAATATGTGTGCTCTGCACGTGCATTTGGAACATGAAAAAACTATTAATGACAACATCAAAGCAAACTCAAAACTGAAATTTGAGAAGGATAAGTTTCATAACATCCCAAGCTATTCAATAATTAGTCAGATACAATATATGTATCATACGGTGCGGCTTGCCCCTCAATAACCTTGCACCGAAGCAATTTTCAAGGACAAAACATAGACAGCAGAGATGAAAACTGCCAACTGATTCACAGATATGAACAGACCGGGTCCTCAGAGATGCTACTTCTGAACAGAGAGGGTCAAGGATCCAATTATCACCGATGCCGTGGGCTTTCTAATTTAAGGCAGAAAAGTCGGCCAAAAACGCGGGTTTAGGGGGACCTGGGTCACAAAATATAACCATGAAATTAGCTTCTACAAGGACACTTGTAGTTGCATGAATTTTGTGATCTTACTGAGATCCCACTACGGTTCCACCAGAAAATGTTTTTATATGCTATCTGACAACTGTAGCAAAATCTTAATATTGTGAACTAGTACAAACTCAACTCTTTTAACAAATAGCATACTTTTTTCTTTATTTTTGAAAAACAAATAACAAATATTCAATGAAGAAAATAGTCTAAAGAACTAGTGTATAAAGTCAGTCCTAACAATTGCTAAAAAAGATAATTTAATTATAGGTCACAGCAAACAAATAGTGGAATCAATTAAAAAGTCTTATTAAAAATTGATTTAGTGCCTTATTTTGAAATTTCGGCATTTAGTGACAAATTGGTTTCACACTGGTAATGGTTACTCGATTTATCTGCAGGGAACTGGTTGGAAAATTGTTGCCAGCTTTGAGGGGAGATTCCCTGATAGAATGAAGCAATTGCCGTTAGATAGGCATTTTGATATCAACAATGTAAAAAGGGTAAGTTTTCAGCTACTGATCTGCCAATGGCTTTATGCATTATCTTGTTGAGTTTTTTTGGGTCTTGTTGCTCTCGCTGACCGTTTTGTCTATTATCAGATTGTGTTAGAAGCTGATGGGTATCAACCCTATCTCATTTCCCCTGAAAAGGGATTACGATCATTAATCAAAGGTGTTCTAGAGCTTGCGAAAGAGCCATCGCGTCTTTGTGTTGACGAGGTATTTATTTTCTGTATGCAGAATGATTTTGAATTATATTTTGCTTTCTTCTCACAGGTTTTAAATGCTTGTAGCTTTTTTTAATGCCTTGTAGTTTTTTTTAATGCCTTGTAGTTTTTAACACCTTGTAGTCGTCTTCACCTCATTGTTTCACTTGATTTGTCAAATAATTAAGTATACCATGTGATTGTGGATCAAGTCTCCATGCACTTTGTCCCAATGCTTCCATTTGGCTGCACCCATTCTACCTATTGTCAGTTGTGTAAGTGTTAGACTCACACATGTAAGAAGGATCAGATGGATAAATTGAAAATGTTTACTCAAAATGGATTAGGCTATAACAGAACGTGACGCATGTCATAAGGGGAGTGGATGGGAATTGATTCAGGAATCAGAGGGAGTTTCGGAGGAGGCATAACCGACTTGGAGAGTCATGCAAGACTTAACAGTTGGTTTGGGGCTGAGCAGAGGAGTTGATTCTCTCAGAATTGACTTAATCTCTTACTGCCGTCATTGTTCACCATCTTCCACAGAGCACAGCTCCATATCATTGCCATTTTCCCTTCTTAGCAGTTTAGTTTTGTCCCTTTACAGAGGTCACGTCTACTGGTTTTTAAGAAGTTGTATCTTTCAGTTCCCTAGTTTTCCATTTTGGTTTGGGTCCTATGAGTAAACATGTTATTTTTAATGAAATCACAATTTTTGGTATTTCGCATAGGATCCCTCGAGTATTTTGAGATTCTTTTGAAAGCATTATATGTAAATAAATGATTATAATTCAATTGACCATATTGCAAAAAAGTTGGTGGGCTCTTATTACTGAAGTATATCAACAGTTAGATGGATTGGATGATGAAGGATATACACACTGATGTGAGGAAGACAAAATTTGAAATGAAGTGAATGCTCATTTAGTTAAGTCTGGAGCATGGCTGAAATATGGCAAGGAATAGTGGCAGGTTGGAATTTGGTTGGGTAGACATGAGATTATGAGAATACACGAGGGAAGGATATTAGTGAATTGTAATACATTAATTGGGAGAAAAAGATGGTTTGGGGTAATGGTTTTGCCCTTCTGCTGAACTCTAACTTTAACTTCTATTTTCTGCTAGTTAAAAGAACTTTTTTGCATGCTAGCTAGGATATAAAGTAGAACAAGATGATCTCGAATTTCTAAATAGTCAAAGGAGATTCTTCTTATCCAGATATCAAAAGTCCTATATAGTTATAGCATGTAGTTAATGTCAGCAGTTGATTATTTTATGCAATTTTCCATGTTCGTTATTTCTCTTGTTGCCGATGAAGAATTTTATTGTGCTATCCTTCAGGTACATCGTGTCCTGATAGATATTGTATCATCTGCTGCCAATGCTACACCTGGTTTAGGAAGATACCCACCTTTCAAGAGAGAGGTATGGTACTTAGTTGTTGATTTCCAGTTTCTACTCGCTACCTAAACCAGTATGTTATGTTAGTCTATGTTTTAATTACTTATATTTCTTTAGTTTTCTTCTTCTAAAGTATATGTCTAGGGGAAAGTTGACTTTCTCTTTCTTTCAAATAACCTTGTTTATAATTTTTTCAAGGTTGTGGCTCTGGCAACTACTGCACTAGAAGGGTTTAAGAATGAATCAAAGAAAATGGTGGTTGCACTAGTTGATATGGAGCGTGCTTTTGTGCCACCCCAACACTTCATTCGCTTGGTACAAAGGAGGTAATTTTGATCTCTTCGTATTTTTCAGTAGTTCAAGATTTTTTTCATCCTCTCCTGTTTGGTCAATGATTTGTTCTCTACTTAGCTGTCTCTTTGATAGGAATTAATTTTTTCTACCAAAACGAATGACTGCCACCTTACGCAAGCTTAAAAAATAAAAAAATCTGAGACATATCTAAATCTTTGCTGTCGCACAGAACCTCCACCTAAACCATTCCTTTTTCTGCTCACTTCAACTTGTTTTGATTTTTTCATTTATCACTTTTAGATGCACCAAATCCTGTGAAGCACAGACACTACATGTGTTGTGCGTGTCCCAGTGTCCGACACGCGTCATACACCCACATGACACCTTTCACATACTGGGGGAGGTGTGTCGAAAATAAAAAGATAAAAAGGGATGACAAGGCAGCGACACAGCAAAGACACGGCAAATAAACCACCACTGAACATAGTATGTGGCTGGAAGGATTTAAAAACCCAAAAAATAAATTTATTTTAAAATAGATTGAAATAAGAATTTGTACTATGCAATTTTTTTTTAAATAGTATGGCATACCAACTCACATGACTATTTCCCTCCAAACAAAATGTTATGTCATATCAACTCATCCTGCACTACCCTCCTCTATCTAACTCATTCTCTGTTACGCTTTTTTCTTCTCTTTCTCGAATATACCCTTCACACTCTAGGCGTCTCCCTCTGCTTATTCCATATAGTGTCATTTTCATGGTCCTAGCAGTGTCCTATTTTGTTTCATCGTCTTACTTATAGCAGAGTATACCTCAATATAGTGGTCTAGCAATATTGCTTCAAAAACACACTGCCTAGGAGTGGTTCGGGATTTTGCGACAAGTTAAACTTGAAACATACTCCCTTCGGTTACTATTTATAAGCAAATTTGACATTTTTTTTATTCATTCAAAAGTTGATGTATCTGGTTCGGTTCATTCAATAACTGATGTATCTAGTTTATATACAAATTAGATACATCAGCTTTTGAATGAATAAAAAAATGTCAAATTTGCTTATAATAGTGATTGGAGGGAGTACATAATTAAACTTAGGTCCCATATTTGTTCCACTATGACCAGGTTATGCTTGAAGTATGTTGTCGGTGGCGGAACAACACCGTCTTGAAGCTGAATTTTTCTGATAAATATGTCAATTTGAAGAATGTGTTGCTTTGTTGTGTGTAGTTAAATGATAATAATAATTTAGCGCACTTTTAGCTTGTCCCGACACCATAAAGTCTTGGTTGGAAAATTTTCAAGTTGTATTTATTTTCTTTTACATGCTTCCTAAGAATAATTAGTAGTGTGTGCAATTATTGATTTTCTTGTCCATGCTTATACAATACATTTACTAGGTATCTCCACAATGTATATTTGTGAAGCTGTTACTTAATCTGGTGACTATTATTTACTTTTAGGATGGAAAGGCAACGCCGAGAAGAGGAGTTGAAAGGTCGATCTTCGAAAAAAGGGCATGATGCAGAGCAATCTATACTCAATCGGGTAGGTGTTCTCTTCCTGTAACAAAAAGATTGTGTCAGATACATAGTGATGAAGATTCTGCCGTGTTTCTATAACACCTATTTGTTTTCTTGTTTTCTAATATCTTATTTTTAGTCATATGTTGGATTTAAACTACATTTTGTTAACTTATTTTAGGCCTCAAGTCCCCAAACTGGTGGAAGCATGAAATCACTTAAGGAGGATAAGGATAAGGAAAAGGAAAAATCCGGTCAGGCAGAGAAAGAAGGTCAAGAAGGCTCTGGTTTAAAGACTGCTGGTTCTGAAGGAGAAATTACAGCAGGTTTGTCAATAATTTGTTAGTCGATATTTCACGCATTATCAATCCTTACAATACTTCGTTGAGCTGGTATTTTTGTGTAGGAAATTTTTGTAAAATTTGACATAATGACATCCCTAATTGATTTATGAAGGATAAGGCTTTAATTATTGTTGTCGCCTTGAATATAAGAAAAATAATTGCCTCTTATTTGAGAATGTGTATATATTTTTAGTTTAGGTAGTTTTTTTGCAGAAAATTATGAATAGTGTTTCATTATCTATGTCACTTGCATTACCCATTAACGGTTCTTTTTAAAAACGTCATTGTCGAAGTGAGGTTTTAAATGACCTTGAAGGACTATAACTCTTTAAGCACTGCTTGTTCACTTTCTGATTATCTAAACGTCGGATTTGTGGGAGCAATTCATATCATAGTTTGAATTGCAGTATTGCACTAATGGTGTATCATTTTGTATTTGGAAGTTGGAATTAGCCAACAAGTATATATCTCAAAATTATGAATGAAGTAAATCTGGTGCTCTTTATTACTTTCAGGATTTTTGTTGAAGAAAAGTGCAAAAACTAATGGTTGGAGCAGGCGATGGTTTGTGCTAAATGGAAAGTCAGGAAAGGTTGGTAACTATTGGGGTTTATTCAGAATAAGGATCTTCTGTGTATAATGGGATTAATTGGAAGTACTAGCTCCAATTATACTGTTAAAGATAGCCTATGATAATTTTAATATACCCCTAATATATCTTTTAATTGGTACAGTTAGTACGGTTTTGCTTTTATACGCCACCTGATGAGATTAATAAAAGAATAACTTAAAGATTACAACCTATCTTTTTCTTTCCAAAGCACATCATAGTCATAGGTGTTTTTAATATGAGTTACTACAATTTTTCGTTCTTTCCAAACGTTGAATATATTTTTGAACCAGTATTGCATCTTTGTTATCTGGATGTGCTTTTAATATGATTTGCTATATTTAGTTTTGACACTGACCTTTCACTTCACAGCTTGGGTACACAAAGAAACAAGAGGAAAGAAATTTTCGTGGTGTTATTACATTAGAGGTATGGACGACTCTCATTACTCATGCATGCTCATTTATGAACTTCAGTTGTGTCTTGGGCATATAAATTATGAGGGCATAAAGTATGGTGGAATTCATGATAACATCAAGTGACTTTCTTTTCTTCCTCACATAAAATTTGTAGGTGTCCTTACTCTTAATGTGCTTGTTTGATTGGAAAAACTTAGTGATTGCTGGCATATATCATTATGATTGTGTTTGGCTAATGCATTGTTTTTACATATTTTATTTTTAATTTTACACACTTGAAATACACTGGGAGGGCTGGAAATTTTTTTATAGTTTTTGTGTTAATTCGAACTGTTTAAAATAATCAGTGACTTTGTTATGTGAAATAAAATCTTATGCAATATTAGTCTTTGTTACTTTGTAAAATTGTTATTTTTATTTAGACAGGATTCTATTATTTTATTGAACTTACTGAAGTACTATTGTCCTTCAATTTTTGTAGTTTTGATACCCTACTATGGTAGGTTTAACTGATATACACACCAATCCAATGTCACCGTATGTTGTTTGTGAACTTTTAGGAGAGTGGTATTTATTACTCCCCCTGGTCTTATTAATAAGAAAAAGTTTACTCTATAGATATATTAAATAACTAATGTATTTATACACATTGGCTATTCAATGAATCAAAAAAGTAAAAAAAATTTCTTATAAATTGGAACAGAGGAGTATTATTTATTAACTATGCCATGGATACATGTTACGCTTAGCTTGTTAGTTGCCACTTGATGATGGCTACATTTATTTAACTCTTATGGCTTTTATCATAAATGCTTACTTTCTTACTTGGAAGGAAATTTGTAAAAATAGTATTTTTTAATTATTATGGAGTACAATTTTATGTAATATTAAAGCCTAATCTTTGAACTTTTTTTATTTCTTGGGTATAGAAGTACAATTCTATAGCTTTTATTTACATGCTTGATTCATATATGAAGCATGGAAATACATAAATTTCGAATTCATTGAACTACTACTGAATCAGCATGTAAATAATGTGCAAATCTGTCATTTTTAATTTTTGTTAGGATTATTTTTTTCCTTTACTCTTAATTTCTTGGGGCTGGAGTTTAAAGATTTTCTTACTTGCCAATTGAAAGGATAGTTGTAAGGTGGGGGAGTTTGGATTATAGACTTGTCCTTATCTGCTTATGAAAATTGAAAACCCTTTGCAGTGGTTATTGAACTTTTTATCTCATTTTTCCTAACCAGAAACAAGGTAAAGGCCTGGTTTGTGTGAGAGGTGAGGTCATTGCATTATTTAGCGACGAAGTTACCTTCAGTTCTCTGTGGAAGATAAAATGGCAAAGTTAACTTCCTTTCTTTTGGAAAATGCTTGCATAATCTAATTGTAAAATCACTTTGGTGTTATACTTGAGTTTGGTTGTTTTACAATGTAAATTTGTTATTGTTCCTTCACATTTCTCACTGTTTACTCTGGTGTTAAAACTTTAAAGCTTATGTTATACTCTGTTTGCTTTTTGCTCGTGAAGTTTTCACTTGTAATTTACTGACGTTTTACATTATTGCAGTGTGTACTGGTTTAGGTTTTTCATGTCAATGAGTTAGAACTAGACAGATACTCATAAGGATATCAGTCTTGATATTAATACAATTCAAACGACTATGCAGGAATGCAACATTGAAGAGGTTCCAGATGAAGGTGAGCCTGCACCAAAAAGCTCAAAGGACAAGAAGTCTAATGGACCAGATTCTAGCAAAGTCAACCTTGTATTTAAAATTACTAGTAGAGTCCCGTATAAAACAGTTTTGAAAGGTAAGTTCTCCTTTTGGTACATGCCCATTTTTTTTGAAGTTGCTGGAAATATTTTAATTACAATATCTCTCTCTCTCTCTTGCACGCAGCTCACAGTGCTGTTGTTTTAAAGGCTGAGAGTGCAACTGAAAAGACTGAATGGATAAAAAAGATAAGTAATGTAATACAAGCAAAGGGAGGGCAAATAAAGATTTTGTCTGAGGGCGGCTCTTCCATGAGGCATAGCCTCTCTGATGGTTCCTTGGTGAGTTGCTGGCTTAAAACCATTGTTCTCGTGTAACTTTTTTTATGGTGGTTTTGTTGCTTATATGTTATATATTGAAGTTATTTCTCCAACCAAGCCACAATTAACACATGTTTATGAATAGGATATTTTAATTTTGTTGAAATGTTTTGCTTTGTAATGATTTCTAGAACTGACTTTTTTATGGGTCTTGTTTCCGGCCATTTTTTATATATTTTTAAACATGAGGTTTGTTGATACTTTCAGCTTTATTATAATGTAAATAGAAGATTGTAATGTATATATCAGTGTAATTAATATGCGGGGTCATTTGACTCAAGTAGTTAAGTAAAGAAAAATAATTTTTGGTATGAGTTCAGTTGTGATACAAATCGAATGAATTTATGACTGCAGTGCATCAATTTTTTGTCCCCTTTTATTGTTAGTTTTGGCACACATTATTTCTTCTATCATGGGTTCATAATTGGTCATTTGACTTTTTTGACTCCTTTGTGAAAGATCTTTCTTGCTATATATATGTGCCACTAAGTAAACATTTTTTTTATGTTCCTCAACTTTTAAGACTAATTTTAAATTCGACAATAGCCAGTAACTTGCTCAATACATGAAATAAATGTGTCAGAAATTGTAATAGTGGTTATCATGGGAAATACTAAATATATTCTTTTTTGTGGCGTTCTCGTAAATGTCGAATGTATTAATTTTTATGCATATAAATTTCAAAGATGCTGATTGCTCTTACACTTCAATTGGCTAAAGTTCAGTCTAATTTTTTAGGGCCATTCCTAAAGTTTCTTATGGGAATGATGGAATAAGTTAAAGAATTGCAATGTTAGGGATAATTAAATTAAAATAATAAATAATAATTGGTAATCTTGAATTTGTGATTATTGACTGATGCTTATTTTATTTTCTTGTACTATCTCAGGATACAATGGCTCGAAGACCTGCTGATCCCGAGGAAGAACTCCGATGGATGTCCCAAGAAGTCCGCGGCTATGTTGAAGCAGTATTAAACAGTTTAGCTGCTAATGTACCAAAAGTAAGCTTCAGTTTTTGATATTCTGTTATAACATTTTCCTTTTTGACAATGTTGATGTTAATGCATTTACTGGTTGTTTGGTTGACAGGCAGTTGTTCTTTGCCAAGTTGAAAAGGCTAAGGAAGACATGCTGAATCAATTATATAGCTCTATCAGGTTCAGAAATCTGTCTACTTGCATTTATTTTAGTTCTCTGTACATTATGTTTTTTTCCTTGTTTTTTCAGTTATTCCCGAGTTTTCCTATGAATGCAGGTTTTTTATTAAAAGCTTCGGGATATTTACATATCAATTGTCTTGAATGTTTAATTTTTAAGTATTGACTCTTCATTTATGCTGTATGGTCAATGTTTTCTGTTATATCATACTTTCACAGGACATATCATTTTTAGGAAGTGTTCTTGTTGTTTAATACCAGTTGAATTTGCATGTAATTGTGATGTGAGAGGAGAGAAAAAGAATTGTGGAGAAAAGGCGGAAGAAATTGAAAATGAAAAACTTTCTTTGCAAATTTACAAATAAATGTTTGTGCGAAAGTTGTGGAATGCCTTTAACACCAATGATCACCATGCATGTGTTGTGTGTGCTTTTAATACCAATGAGCACCATGCATGTGTCTTGTGTGCTTTTAACACCAATGATAACCTTAGATAGTATTCTAACTTGATACCGATGATTCATTGTGTTAATGTTTAAGTTGCATGCTAATTCATCTGTATGCTATGCTTTTCCATGATGAGAAATTTCTTGATACAAGTTGACATGAACATTTTTTATGTCCTCTATTATTAGTGGTCATAGCACAGCTAAGATTGAGGAGCTGCTTTTAGAAGATCAAAATGTGAAGCGCAGGAGAGAGCGTTACCAGAAACAGTCCTCGCTTCTCTCCAAACTGACACGCCAACTGAGTATACATGACAACCGTGCAGCAGCAGCCTCAAATTGGTCAAATGGGAATGCAGGTCCGTGTTAGCCGCTTTTATTCTCATTTACAGATTCATTGGAAGATTCATTATCATTATTATTCTAATGCATTAGATGGTCTACTTTTTTAGGTCCCCAAAATTACCTTTGATCAGTGAATGCAATCTGAAATTATGACGCTCTCTGTTTTTAATCTTACTTTGACAATTTTCTGTAGATATTTATATTCTGATGTATTCACATGGATTAGTTATGTTAGGATAAAACAGATGGCGCAGCTTATAGATAATTAATTATCTAAGAATGCATAAGATTTCAATCTTTTCTATTTTGATTAAACTTAGCAGTCACCATTTGCACTTCCGTAAATATTGTGTTATCATCTGTTTTGCAATTGGGTCTTTACCCTCTGATTCTCAGGGCAAGAGAGCCCTTATAGTTCGATGTTCGGTCAGAAGAGGTACATATAGTATATGGCAAATGATTGATATGAACTCCTGATTGATTTTCTTATATATTTTCTAGACTCAAACTCAAGTTCTCCTGATTGATTTTCTTCTATATTTTCATTATTATATCTTTTTTCATTTCAAGAAAGTTATTATCTTAAATTTATTCTAAAATGATTTTTGCTTTCCCGTTGATATTAGTTTCCCTTTTGGTTTTATCTCTTATTCCCCCCTGCCCTGTGTACTTATTAGATTACATTCTTTTTTGCAGAGAGTAGCCCAAGAAGCAGTGAACCAGGTGATGATTGGAGATCTGCCTTTGATGCAGCTAGCAATAGTCCTGTTGGCCGTAGTGGTTCAATGAGATCTGGATCAAATGGTCACAGTCGACATAATAGTGATCCTGCACAAAATGGTGATATGAACTCTGGCCCAAACTCTGGTAGTCGTCGCACTCCTAATCGATTACCGCCTGCTCCTCCAGGTTCTTCTGGTTACAAGTATTAACGAACGGCCATCATTTCATGTTTTATTACATTTTTGGAGAGTGTGATTGCTCCCGCTCAATTTCATATATTTTGAGGATAAGGTCGTCGCAATTCTTTGTTCCTGCCAGGATATTTAGGTGATGAAAAAGGTTTGTGTAAATAGAAGACTAGTTTGTTAGTATATATATGTTTTCTGGGCATATCCCATTTTCCGGAAGTATGGTGTCAAGGCGTACTTGAAAAGATTGATAGATCATGTTTCTCTATTCAATATTCTTTTTACTTTCATACCTCTTATTGTTTCTCTTTTTTTCTTTATTTCGATTTTGGGATTTTGCACTCAATTTTGGATGCAGCTGATGTAATTTTCTTTATAATTACTGAATAGTACTCCATTTCTGATGGGTTTACTAGACTAAAAATTGAAGTATTTTAATAACGGGTATGTGTTATATCTCTGCTGCCTCATGCCTGTGGAGTTCCTCTTCATCTCCACTATTGTTTTTTTAATGTTATTTGAATATTGTTTTTCAACGTCACATTACACCATATCATCTGTCTTATTCGTTTTGGATTAAACGGATGTGTTTTGCTTTATAATAACTGATTTGTGCATCATTCCCGATGAGTTTACACGGCTTCTTTGATAAATGGGAATTATTTTTAATTTTCTGTTGACCGCCCTCCGAGAGTATAGTTCAACTTTATTAGTGTCTTTTACCTTAATTATGTGTCGTTATTTTTCAAATATTTTTTTCCATGTGATTTAATGCCAGTGTTGAAACAATGGAAATCTTTCTGATAATTAAATTTGTAGTGCTTGGTCTAAGAATTATGAGAGCAATATTTGAAATAAAGAGTAAGATGATATGAGATAATTTTAGAGACGATACTAAGTGTAAGATGATTTTAAAGTAAAATTTTGTTAAATTAAATTTCAAGAATGTTTTCCACTTCAAAAAATTGTATGAATTGATTGCAGTATTTTATATTAACACATCATGAAACCCGCTAAAATTTGCATGAAATGATTTGATCGTGAGAAATTAACTTTCAGCCCCCACATTAAACATGACACCCTCTAAATGGTTTGAAGATATCAAATTGTTCATATCTAAATTATTGACTATAAATTTCTAATTTTTGGACGATATCGGAAATTTTGAAGGTGATATTGGATATTTTGTGAATAACTAAGAATTTACGATAGATTTGTGAAATTTTTGATATTTTTGATATTTTGTATTAGAGATTTTAAAACATTTGGTATTTTCGTATCAATTTTTTTAAATGTTTGATATTTTCAATTATTATTCACGTCACAATAAAATTTTTGATAGTTAAGTTTTTTTTGAAAATTATCAGAAATTTAGAAATTTTTGATAATTTATATTTTCTTAATATTTTTTATTTTGCAGTGAGGATTAGAGACACATATGGTTCTATTGCGGGACGGACCACTGATATAGATGATGTTGAAGTACGGGTTGATGAGGCGTAAACTTCAAAGCTATGGGCGGACGCCGTCTTCTGACCGGTTCTCATAAGAAACAGATGACTGAGTAGAATGTGCAGTTTCGCGCACCCCGTCGTCGGGGTCTTAGAGTATCCACTGTATAGTAGATACATGCTCCTACAGAGGTACATACTCCTATTGAGAAGGTACAAGTTCCTACTGAGAAGGTACATACTCCCGTTTCTATTGTGGAGTCAGTAGTTGAGGAGTACATTGTGAAACCTGTGGTGCAGGAGGCTGAGTAAGAGGTTGTTGCTGAGCGAGTTGATGAGGTGTCTTTCGTTAATACAAACATCATAATTCGTGCGCCTACAGAGTCATCAGTACACAATAATGAAGGTTTTCCCGGAGGATCTTCAGACATGTCAGTGCTGATAGAATTTGTGGATCATGTCGCTTATAAGATATGACATGACGAGTTATATATTTTTGATTTTGTTTATATTTTTGATTTTGTTTAATTTCATAATTTTTATTTTTTCTTATAAGATTTGATTTATAACAATTTGATGTATAATAATTTTTTGCTTTTTGGTGCTAGTCTATTTACCGAGTCACCACCATCACCTCCACCACCTCCAGAAGATTAGGACACCCGTTTCTAGTTTATTGTAGTTCATGCTGACAGTTTCATGGTTTGATAAACTCAGATGGTGAGATTTATAAAGGTTTAGTTAGGTTAGCCGCCGTAGTATGTGGAGGGCCTATGTAGATCTGTTTTATTTTGGTTGTATTATATGTATATTTCGTGACACACAAACTTTTTATTTATTGCATAATATTTTGGCGATTATATATTCCGATCGATGATGAACATAACATAAAATAGTACAAAAAATATAATCCTAAAACAACTAAACATGAAAACTTAGGCACTTCCGGATGACTCTGGAACTTTCAACATCTTCATTATATCGTCAACAAATCTTCGGATCTGCGCATCCAACTCGATTGTACTTTTAATTATCCTATGGCGAAATGATTTTCACATGGCCTTCACATCTTCATTATTTTCAAGAGAATTGTTGTCGTTGTAGTACACTTCAGCCTTAATTAGATATTAAGGAAGAGATGTTTTTTTGAGATGTATTTTTTCTATAACAAATGTCCCTATTTATACAAATAATGATGCATTCTAGACTACATAAATGTGTTGGTGCAATCAGAGCCATCCAAATATATCGACAAAATTCGCCGTTTAAAAAACCATGTTTTTATAACTATTAGAAATTTCAGTTAATTTGAAATTTTCGGTACACTGGAAATTTTAAATACACTACCGAAAATTTACGGTACCAAATTTTTAGAAGGGGTATCAGAAATTTTAATCTGTCTATCAGAAATTTCATCCAAAAATAGTGTGCATCTCATTCAAAGATAAAAGTGGAATAAAAAATTGTGGGGGGTGGGGGGGTGTGGCATGTTAATTTCTCATTGATCGCTGATATGTTTTTTGGGGATGTTTATATTCTTAGGGGTGCGTCTAACACTTTTGAACATTTTTAGATGCATTTAAAATTGCAATAGTTCTCGTAATTCACTCATATATTTCATTTTTTGTCAAAATTTAATCTAAAAATACATCTTCGTAAATTTTTTGGGGTGTATTTAGAGATGTATTTTCTAATTATCTCTTGAAGTCATTTAAAAAACATTGGGTATATGTTTATTTCATGCTGAATATTTCAAAGATATATTTTCCAAAATCTCTTAAATGTTTCAACACTATAATTTTTTTAAGGTCAACTGCATCGATCATATATAACTTGTTTTGAAAATATAAAAAATAATACAATCAAACATAACTTACTGAGTATATAACGCCTCGGCTTCTCCATCTATACTGTAAGACATTGAATACCTTAAACAATAATTCCTTCTATGAGGATCAATTGAGGATGCCTTCAAAAAGTCTTACCTTAATGTTCGATTTTGTCATATCCATAATATGCCGACAAGCTCTGCTTATGTAGGGTGTAGTTATCCATAACCTCAAGTATCTCATGATTGGATGACTCAGGTGGTCTCCAGGAGCATCTGATGTTATGATAGAGGTGATATCCTATTGAACCATGTCATGTAGTCGTCTGCATAAGTCTAATTTACATGAGCTGACTTTATGCGATACTCCCTTGGTATCAAATGACTCTTAAAATCTTCAAGTTTCACATCAAAATTTCTACTACAGACGGTGGAAGGAGGGTACTTTGAGGGGTTTCTTGGAATAATCTAAATACATAAATTTGCACATCACTCACTCGAGTAGATACAAATACATCAGACTCCATTCACATGCCAGTCATCTAGAATATAACAAAATGATGTCCAGCTGACGCGTTTGCCGGTGATCACCGTATGGGAATAAGACAATGTCATATGCTACATGACGATCAAGATCACCTGGAACGGTTTAATTGCCTAATTCTCTATTAGTGAAGGCAAATGTGACAACTTACAACCAATCCCCAATGTAGTCAAACACAAGATTCCACCCGGTGAATCAAGAAAAGTGAGAGATAATCTATATTTGAAAAATGGTTCAAATAAAATGTTAAAGAGACGTGTAACAAAAATATTATGAAAATACTAGTAACAATAAAATATTGTAAGCAACATGAAACTTCATGTCATCTGCTTTGTCTTCTATAAACAATCTTTGCCAAACTTTGAGTACAAGTAGACTAAACAGATGCCCTAGTTGTACTTATGATTTACCGTAAAGTCAATGAAGTATCAATGGTAGATCACATCAATGTAGGTTACACTTTTGTCCATAAACATAAACATACCAACCAAGAACAAGAGGTAATACCACAACGCACAATGTCAATGGTACTCAACCTGCATATCATTACCTTCGGCATCCAGAGCCATCCGTAGATGGTCATTATAAGTTCTTCCAAAAATTTGAACATAGAATGAGCACCTTTGGTGTTAGCTACCTCATTTGTAGCCTTAGTTAGGTTATCCTCAAAATATGTAATTAGCCACTGACTGGCTTCCTCTCGATCGAGCCTTCGACGGTACAGTAATTTCGCCCTGATAGGAAGATGTAGAAGGCATGAGAAGTCATTCAGGGTGATGGTCATCCATCCAATTAAAAGGTGGAAAAATGTCAGTAATGTCGTCTCTTTGCAAATGTCACCTCCAAGCTATGGTTTATGCTAGTGTACATAACAACACATAAACTGGAAAAGCCAGAGTAGTGGATAACATTCTTGTCCCAATCAGTGTCAAGCTGTTCTAAATCCAAAGTATTCCTTCCTTGGTTTACTGATTTTAAACATTGACACTCTTGTAATGCAGAGATGAATATATATACCTCTCTTTTCTAGACATGTCTAACACCATGGTCTCCATAAAGATGAAGTAAGAAGGTGTCAAATAGATCTACTGGATAACTATCTATATGGGCATCTGCATCAACAATGAGTTCCTTCTTATTGGCCTCATAGGCTTCAAGGGCTTCTTTGAGAGCTTCAGGGGCTTCATAAGCAGGGGACGCATTGTAACACCCTGAATTCACAATAAAATTTTCTCTATATTTAATATGCATAACATTTAAGAATGTAAAAATATAGAATTAGGTGAAGGTGAGAAGAACACAAGAAGGAGAAGGGGTTGAACTGTGTTAAATTTTTCTTCTTTTTCTCTCTCCTTTTAAAGAACTTTTATAAGATTTTAAACAAAAACTTAGAATGTGATTCAGAGTCTGATGAGTAGCAGTAGATAAAAACAATTAAGAGATAGAGAAGAGGGAAAGAGAGACACAAGAAATTATCCTGGTTCCCCATAAATCAGGAGTAGTCTAGTCCCCTTTCACTTTCAAGAGATTTCCACTATAGTTACTTCTGATTATAAATACTCAAGCACACAAGCAAGAGACTTTCAGTTGCTCAAACACACAAGTAAGAGAGTCCAATGCTCAAGTGCACAAGCAAGAGACTTCAATGCTTAAGCACAAAAGCAAGGATTTCAGATGCTCAAGCAATTATTTTGAGACTTACACTTGATATACAATTAGAGGTGTAAATAAAATATAACACAAATAGACTCTAAGACTTAGGAATTTCTAGAATATACGTGTTAAGAAATTCTAAGTTAAGCTTGTGAAATTGTTTTGACAAAGTAATAACTCTTTTGTTGTCAAGGCTCAGTGTTGTAATTTCTCTAAGTTTTTGAGCTCCTTTTATAGAGGGACACCAAAGAGATGTTGGAGAAGACTTCTTGCACAAGTGAGTCTTTGAGAGAAGCATCATTAGAGACGTTGGAAAGTTACCTGATATGGTTAATTCTGTTGAAGGGAAATTTTAAACTCCTTTGCTACAAGAGGAATTATCAGTTGCATTCCACCTGTCTTCTGTAATTTATTGCTAAGTGTTCACATGACCAGAAGAAGAAAAAATATCTTCAGTTTGAAAGTGACCTATCAAAGTTTCTCGATCCTCGAGCTTTGAGTTTCTTCAAGTTCTGAGTCTTTAGAAGACGGGTCTTAGCTTCTTATCCTTCAGACTATGAGTCTTTATAGGTTGACTTGATTTTCAGATGTTGACCTGATCAGAGTTTGGGATCTCCAGGTTCTGATCCTTGACCTGGTTCAGTGTCTTAGTCTTTAGGTTCTGATCCATTAGATGTTGACTTTTCTCCAAACTCTAGTTTTCAGAAGATGACCTTTTCAGAGGCCTATTCTTCAAAGTGATCTTCAGAATTTGCATCTTAAGGTTTCTCTTTGGATGTTCAATGCAGTGTCAAAACTGACTTTGAATCATAATTTTAATCTATGTTCCTGTACCTTTAAATAGATGTTAGTATACCTAATTGTTATTTAACTACTTTGTTATCAGTAAAACCTAAGGGATATGGTACAAACCAAATTTGTTCCAACAATCTCCTCCTTTTTGATGATGACAAACACAAATATTTAAGAACAATGGTTGTTGATTTAATGAACAAGTTGACTTCAGGGAGAGAGGTTTGTAATCTCCCTCTAAGTCTAATATTCCTAAGGGTGAGGTTTGTAAGCTCCCCCTAAGTCTTAGCCAGGTTAATTGAAATTTATCTTTTAAGCACAAAGACAAATTTTTAGATTTAGAACAATAAGAAGATCTTAACCTATCATATTCAAATGCTTAATATCTTACTCCCCCTTTTGTTATCAATAAAAATTAGTAATTAGAATAAGAAAAGATACTAAATAAAACATTTTATTAACTAAATAAGAAGAGAGTCAGATGCAAAACATGTTCAAAATAAGTGAAAAGACAAAACAAATAAGGTTTCCTAAATCGTAATGCCTAGAGTTTATGCTTCAGAAGCTCCAAGGTAGCTTTGAGATCAGAACCCATTTCATCTTTCCTAGCAATC